TTTTACTTGTGCAGTTGGCATGTATGGGAGGGAAAGCCTCTCACTGGGCTGGATCTCACAGCTGTCAATGACGAACTGTGGATGGTATTTGTGATATTTTCCAAAATAACGTCCATTTGCTTTGTGGCGCTAGAATTTTGAACATGTTCGAAAACTTTACACAAGTATCTAAAAAAAAAAAAAAGGTCAGAGTCTTTGCAGGTACTCCTGCTCAATTTAATTTATTTCAGTTCAAAGTGCAGAAAAAAAGAAGTTGGGGATGGTTTGGAGACTTTTTAAACAAGTCGGGGCTGATTTGAAGACAACACAAGCGGAAATTGTGACTGAACTGAGACGTTATTCAGACGCTTTGACAAAACGTTGCACATTATTTGCAGGAATGTTATTTGTCATAAGTTCAAGTTCAAGTAGGTTCTTTATTGTCATTTGCATCACATGTGGTACATGAGGTTGAATGAAATTGTGTACACACGGTCCCAGTTGCATCCAACAATAGCAAAAATATAAATTGTAAAAAGAAACAGTAAATAAGGATCTAAGATATAAACTAAGAAAGACACTAAACATTAATATCGTATATGCAAATAAGAACCAAGTCGATAATATTACAAGTGAAAATTAATGTATTGTGTCACTTTTTTTAAGTCTCCAGATAGTTGTCAACGGTTGTAGCCCAGTGAGATACAGCCCAAAGTAAATCAAGGCACCCATGCCTAATAACTGCTGGTATTAAAAAAATCTAAGTTACAGATGAGTTGTTCTTCACAAGGCAATGCCTTTCAGTTAAGATTTGCATATTATTATTAGTTTTTGTACAATTTTATACTGAAATAGGAGCATACTGGTTTAGTCTAGGTACGGAAAGAAACCTCACCAAGGTCTCAGCCTTTAATTATCTTGTCAACTATGGTTGGTTTCCTGTCAATCATGCCATGTGACATAAACAGAAAAGCCTCATAGCTTCTCAGATTCTATTACACTAACATTTGTTGCCTGTAGCACTTGGGAAATTACCTGTTCACACCTGAGCTGTGGTCAAAATAACAAAACTAGAGAATTCCATTGTGGCATCAGGTCTTGACAGATACGTCTACGAAGAAGAATGAGGTCAGAAGATATCTAGGAGCTTTCAGGAAATTGCAGATCATTGTGCAATTAGTAAATAGCATTTTACTGCAGCTGTGGAGGTCTACGGCATATTTCAGCCTTAGAGGCCTGCGAATGAACGTCCAATTAAACAAGCTTGATGAATATTAGAAGCAAGGTCTTTAGACTGCAGAAGTGTGGTTAAAACGGGATTTAATTTTTCTTTTACAGTATTGCGATGATTTCCTCCCCACATTTAAGCATTACTGTTTACAGGTGCAGCATTTGTTAAAATCGTGAGAGCGCACAGTCTTGTCATTTGAGCACAGTGCTTTTTTGTTGTTTGAATAATTCATAGATCAGCATGAAGTCATCTGAAAAACACAAAAAACTAATTCCTCTGAAATGTTTTCTCAGACACACTGTATGTGCTTCATTCTGATCTGACTGGGCCACGTTCCAAAGCAGGAGGCAACGGGAAATTGGCTGAGCTCCAACTGATTTAGTTTATAGTTTTTTTTCTTGGCTGTCGTCAGCCGCTCTGTGATGTTTGTACTTAGGGCCAACAGGAAGGGTTTGCTCTGCAAAATCCAAGTCTTTCCACTAACCTGTCCAGCATTGATGAGAATGTGACCGTGTTTAGCATTAACGAGGAACACAAACTTTGACACGGAAGTCAGGTTTAGCTTTTTTTTGTGTGAACGCTTATGATGCATTCATTCACACCATTGTGATCCATTTTTCTTAATGTATGTTTTTCGGCATCTTTTTCGTTCCAAAATTTTTGTACTCTTTCATCAAATCGTATATCAAAATGTTCAGCTCGTTCAGGAGAAAGGTGCTTTGACTTTGGGTATTGGTGCAGCTTTAGCTTTTTGAAATACATTGGTCCCTCGCTACTTCGCGGTTCATTTTTCGCGGACTCGCTCAATCATGGTTTTTCAAAATAAGATTGGACATGACACACAATTGGCTGAATGATGGATGAGCCGCAGGATCGGCATGAAATTTTTATTTAGCAACTGTGTGCAGCCCACAGCTGTGCTCTTTCCTGCAGCTGATCAGCTGATCTCCGCTCTGCAGTGGAGAAGTGGGCGTGGCCGAGAGTGCTGTCAGGTGGCAGAGAGCTGAAATCATGACATGCTGTGCTTTTTTAGAGTGTTATTCCTACGGTCTTCAGGGTACAGATCCCCCGCGATAAATGAGGGACTGCTGTATTTAGCCTTTTTTGCCACTTTTTTCTCATAGAAAATGAAATGAGCTCATTTTACATCCTTCAAATCTTTAGATCTGTTTTCAAGCTTTTACTGCTCCTTTGACATTTTGTTCTGGTTCAGCTTCTTTCAGCTTCCTTGTGAAAATTTAACCATTTTTTTCAGTTACTTTCAGCTCATTTCAGCCATTTTTTTCAGCTGTTATGTGATCCTTTTAGAGTCTTTCTGCTAACTGCAACATTCCAAAAAAGTTCAATCTGGTCCTCTGGACATTCAAAAAAACAAAAAACAAAACAAAGCAAAAAAATCTAGAAACGTTTCGTCCCTCATCCAAGAGACTTCCTCAGTCTGAGGTGCTGTTTTCAGCTCAGTCTCTTAAATAGCACCTTCACAGAGTGGATCAACCAATTTGCTGCTGACAACCAAAACCAGCTGATCACATGCTCAAGAAGGACCATCAGCCTAACAATGGATCATTAGCACCCTGATGGCTGTTTACTATTCACAGGGGGCTGAGTGATACTAGCAATCACAGCATTGTAAGAGGGGGACAGTTGAACCCGGAGGCCTCCACCCCTGTTTAATGATGGACGATTTCTTTTCACAAAGATGGCCTCCTTTACTCCTCTCTCAAACCATCGTTCCTCTCTGTCCAGGATGTGAACATCTTCATCCCTGAAAGAGTGAATGTCTTTCACTTGTGTTTTTGAATGTCCAGAGGACCAGATTGAACTTTTTTGGATTTTTCTACCTGGATTATTGAGCATGCATCAGGATAACTGCAACATTGTTGTGCTTCTTCTAACTTTTTCTGCTAATTTTAGCTTGGTATGCTCCTTTCAGCTTATTTCTGCTAGCTTCAACTATTTCTGCAATTTCAGCTACTATTTAGCTATTTTATGCTAATTTGAGCTTTTTCAGCTAATTCCACTTTTTTTTTCTCATTTCAGCTCTTTTTGCTTCCTTCTGGTAGTTTAAGCTTCTTTCTGCTTTTCAGATACTTTTCAGCCATTTTTTAAAACAAATTTCAGCTTTTTTAGCTTCTTTCCTAATTTTTCTGCTAATTTCGGAATATTTAAACAAATTTCAGCATTTTTTCTGCTTTCTTCTGCTAATTTAGGCTTGTTCTTCCATTTCAGCTAATTTCAGCTGTTTCTCAGCAAGGTCTTATGCAAAAAGCACTGCATTTTCACAGGAAATGACATAATTTTTTTTAGAATTAGCTTAAAACAGCGACACTATCACAAACTACTGCCGTGTAAAAGAAGGTGTGAAAGAGCACAGAAATAAAATCACTAAAAGCAGGTTTGCTGCATGCTCTTTGAGTTTCCCGTCTACATTTTTTTATCCCTCTCGCTACATTTTTAACTTTTGAAAATATATATGGAAGATTCTGAGCACTTTTCTGTAAGAGCCACGTTGAATATTTGAAATACCAGCAGAAAGCAGAGATTGTGTGCTCTTTAAGTCTGACAGCTAGATTGCGAGGGTCATAAGGTTGTTTCTCAGACGCCTGACATTCAAAGGTGTGTTACGCTGAAGTAGACAGAAGCGTAGAAAAGAGACGACCTGTCGTGTGTGTGTTATTTCTGCAGTAAGTGTTACAGTCAAACAGTGAAAACGAACCATTTCTACTGTCAGCAGAGCCCCACAGCATTCACTCATTCAGCGCTGCCTGGTTGTTCCTGTCTGACTCATTTAGACAAAGATAAGGGCAATAATTTAACCATGTGTCAGAGCAGATATGATGTCACTGCAAATATAAAGAATATCTGTTTGCACAGATCCACACAAACCTCATGAAGGCAGGAAGCAGCAGTAAGTAAGAGGAAGCAGCCGAACCAAAGTCTGGTCACCAAATACCAATTTTTTTTTCATCAATTTTTTTTTTCCACGAGAGCCTCATTATTTATTGCATCTATCTGTCCAAGCATCTCCCACTCTCATCCCCGCGTCTGTGTTTCCATTTCCTGCAGAGAAAATTTAAAAAATATGATAAGGATGAAGAAACACATTTATCAGTTGTGCCATCTCAGGAAGTGGTGAAATGTGTCCTGCTCCGTTGCTGGGTTGAGAAACAAACCTGCGTACTCCAAGAATGTCGTTTTATTGGTTTACTTAAAGGTACATGGGACAATATTATGAAGAATACTCTAAAAATAAAAAAAAATCCATATTTTTTTCTGAAATTAAAGGCTACAAGATCTTTAGATAAAAAAAATTGTGACCAAATTGCCACTACTACATGTATTTAATTGCCTACGGAAACAGCCAAAGTGACTAAAAATACAGGTGCTGGTCATAGCATTAGAATATCATGAAAAAGTTTATTTATTTCAGTAATTCCAATCAAAAAGTGAAACTTACATACTGTATTCATTCATTTTACACAGACTGATATATTTCAAATGTTCAAATGTTTTTCTTTTAATGTTGAAGATTATAACTGACAACTAATGAAAACTCGGAATTCAGTATCTCAGAAAATTAGAACATTGTGAAAAGGTTCAATATT